AAGATATGGAATAATTTAAACCAGTGATAATAAACTCATTCAAATATTTTTAAATATAGTTTGTCCATTTTAGTTTTTTTTCTAAGATTTTGATCAGAGTATGTTACCTTTGATATCTCAATGCTTGTATACAAATCTAGAACTTCTATAACTTATAAAATAAGAAATATAAATTAATATTTTATTTCAAAAGCCAATTCCTTATTGCTTCAAATATTGTACTTTTGACATAGTAGTAATATCTATGTTTTTATTGTTTAACAATCATTACATATTATATTATTATAGAGATAAATAGATTGTAATATTACTGTAATTATACTCCAAATATAATACAATTATTATGAAATGTATACTCAATTATTATCTTTACAGTACTGTATTTTGGATCAAAATGGTTCATTTAGACTACCGACTCTAGAAGAAATCCTTAATTATAGAGTGATAGTAGTGACATTAAGTATTTCTATGTTTTTGTCATCTGTTGGATTGAAAAAAGGTATATTTCTTGTMTATTTTATAGCACTGATAATAATTACTAAAGAAATTTATTTTAGGACATTTTACGCATATTCTCTTGGATGAAGCTGCACAAGCTATGGAGTGTGAAGCTATTATGCCATTAGCACTTGCTAATACTGAAACACGGATTGTATTAGCTGGAGATCATATGCAGGTAATTTTGAATAAAAACTTTGTAAGAATAAAAATAATATTTAATTATTAAAAATTTTAGTTGAGTCCAGAAATTTTTTCAAAATTTGCAAAAGAAAGGAATTTACATGTATCACTGCTAGAACGGCTTTATGATCACTATCCTGGACAATTTGCTTCTAAAATATTGTTATGTGAAAACTACAGAGCACATGAAGCCATAATACATGTATGTTTCCATTTAGATCATGGTGGAAAGAATGTTTATTAACTTATATTTGTTCATTAGTTYACCTCTGAATTGTTTTATGAACAAAAACTTGTGAGCAAAGGCAACCAACCACAGCATGATAGCTTGTACCCTTTGACATTTTTTACAACTCGTGGAGAAGACATACAAGATAGTAATTCAACGGCATTTTACAACAATGCTGAAGTTTATGAAGTTGTTGAACGGGTTTCTGAATTAAGGAAAAATTGGCCAGTTGCATGGGGAGCGTTTGATGAACATTCTATTGGTATCATGACTCCTTATTCAGATCAAGTTTTCAGAATTAGATCAGAACTACGTAAACGTCGTATGGGTGGCATATCTGTTGAAAGAGTGCTCAACGTTCAAGGTAAATAATTATTGCATAATGTGTTACAAATTCTTAAGATTCTAGTTAAAGTGGTGTAGTGTTTAAAATATTAAATATCTTGATATATATTATATATCTAATTTTTTTAATGAACCCCTTCCATTAGAAATTCCTTTTTACACCACTGACTAATAGAATACACATTAATGCTGTTTTTATGTTTAGGTAAACAATTTAGAGCAATATTTCTGAGTACTGTACGTACTAGACGGACTTGTTTGGCCAATAATGTAGGAGGTGGTGAAAAATCTAACAGTGGTATAAACAAACTTGGCATGGATGATATGGACTATGGATTTTTATCCAACTCAAAGTTGCTAAACACTGCCATTACCCGTGCACAGAGTCTTGTTGCAGTGGTTGGAGACCCTGTAGCTCTTTGTTCAATTGGACGATGTAGAAAAGTCTGGGAACGGTTCATTCAAATATGTGATGAAAACCATAGTCTTAATGGTATCACATGGATTCATCTAAGAAATTTGTTAGATAAYCTCGAACTAAAAAAGTCATACATTTTGAACCCTTTGGCTCCAGAATTTGTACCCAGGCGTTACCAACAAGAGTCTTATATAAAAATTCCTCAATCCTTGGCAACTTTTAATGCAGCTATACCACCACCACCCATTAGGTTTTCTCAACCACCACCTTTATTTTCTTCACCCATATTTCCATTCCCATTGTATATACCTTCTATTACTCAACCACCTCCGCCAGCTTTTATTTCTCTACGACAACCAATCATAAATCCTTCCCAAATGTGGCCACTTGGTCCATTAACAACAACTGCTCCAAATCTTTTTCCGAGGCCTATACTCCAGCCACCAATACAAAAACCAAACGATGAAGAAATTCGGCCTCCGCCAGGTTTGGTACCTCCACGCAACCCAGGCCTAGTTCACTTGGTTCAAAATGGACATGCTGACCTTCAATTTGTCCAGAATACTGCTGGAGTAACTCCTGTAAACTTGCCTTCTCCAAATATGATTGTACCAAACACCAACTTGATGGGACTTCAAGATCAATTCAACAAAATGAATATGTCATCACTACAACCATTTGCAATGCAACATCCTTCACTGGTACAACCGTTCAATATTAGGTCAATGGTTGATATGAACAATAAACATGCTGAAACAATTACAGCACAACAGACACAACGAAACAATGATCGATCAATGCTTGAGGTATATTTTTACTTGTGAAAACAATTCTATCTTATTTTATTTTATTTAAACAAATAAAACTCRTTATTTCATTTATTTTATTCTAGGGTATGTTGCCGCATAATATTAGTATAGAAGAAATGATGACTTCTCAGACAAAACAAGTGGAGTGGCTGAAATTTCTAACAGACAACGGTGGTGCTCTAATGGGACAAAAGTATGTGCAAAATCTAGTTCTAGAAAATTACGTGAATATTTATTTATTTTTTTATTTTATGTTGTAGGTTTATTGAACTATTGCGGTCTCAAACCCAGTACAAAAAATCAACTATTCAACAGCCGCCGCCTATTCAACAACCACCTCCAAATATTCCATTACAAATGAATGTACCTCCTCCAGAAATAGGAAATAGAGTTCCTGATGATTTGTTAAATATTTTGATTCAACAACAGCAAAATCAAAAACAGCAAACTAATCATAATGGTTTTGGGAACCCATCACAGGTAAATTTAAGTTAATTATATAAAAATATACATTTAAATATAAATTTTAAAATTATTTTGTAGGGAGTTCCACATTTAGATGGCAGTGGAACAGATGATATGTATAAACCATTGAGTAATCAGTTTACTCTCGGTCAACAACATTCTAATATTGAACAAATTGATCGAACACCACTATATAAACGACAAGCACAACCTAATGGCAATATAATGTTACCAATGAATGGTGATCGTCAGGCATTATCTCCTCAATATCAGGGTATGTCAACATATGCAGATGCATGTAGACAATCACCAATGGTTGAAGAACGGAAAAATCCTGTAGATAACCAGTTTGGCAATGACCCTCAGTGCAATAATGCATTTTATAATTTTTTCAATTGAATGCATTTGTATTAAAAATTTTGTCTCTGTAATTTTTTTCTTGAATTTTTGACCTAAAATAATTTATATTATATAAATATCAGTAATTAAAAAAAAAAAATTAAAAAAAAATATTTGTATCATATTTATATTATTCTATTGTGCATAGTTTGTAGTGATTGTATTTTCGAATATTGTATGAATATATATTATAATATTATATAATTAAACTTATTCATATAAAACTACACTTAATTTTAACAATTTTCAATATGATATATTTCGGATGAACAATTTCATGTTTAATATAGGATCATGATCACCTATGATAATACATTCAATTACAAAATTTCTTCTGAAAAATGCATGCATGAATGAATAGCAATTGTAATATTTTTCCATGTAACTATTTAGATATTGTATATGATCAAATATTGGCTATCTTGTAAATAAATTGTATTTTATTGATTTTTTCTGTATAATGAAGTATAAATGTATAACATTATTATTATTATATTAAAATTAATATTATAAACCTTTACCATAAAACCATGTACCTAAATATATATATATATAGAATAGCATGTCAAATTACGGTTTTTGTATCTGTGTAAATTTATTATACATCTAAAATTAAACATAAAATATTCACTAGTAATATTAAACATATTATGTGTATTTATTTTTATCAGGGTTAGGTTAGGTTAATACTAACAATTAAAATTGTTATTAAGCCCATAGGCTCAATAATAGTGTTTGAAATTTGAAAGGGCTAAAATTCAAATAATCTGTATCGGATTTTATGGAATAATGAAACTTTTTATGTTTTGAGGGAGTGGGTAGGATAGGAAGAGCTTTAAAACGGTTAGGAGAGCTTTGAACACTAATCCCCAATATCTCTGCCTATTATTAAACCATGATTATAGATAACAGATAAGGTATATTTACACTTTGATGTTTAAGTTATGAGTACGATTGATAATAACTTGTCTAACAATATAATGATAATATTATTTAAGCATAAGTTTAATATCAAGTTCTTTGAATCTTTGATATCAATCATTGATCTTTATTTTTAAGCTTAAATCTAGTTCATGATTTATAGGCTTAACATTTAAGGGCCATTCTTACAATGCTCGGTTAGTGCCTGATAACACTAACCGGAAGAATTTATCATGAGTTAACCGATAGAATTCTACCGGTTAGTCTTAACCGACACTTAACCGGACATTGTAAGAACGGCCCTAAATCGTATTATACCTAAATACCTAATACATTGTATCATATTAAAATAGGATAATATCACAGATTATATAATATGTGATCATGAACTAAGATATATCTTAGTTCATGGTGATGATATGGTATCAAGCTATCAACTATCAATAAATTGACAACCATAATTATAATTTAAAAAAGTTGTATGTAATATTATCACAATTAAATTTATATACACCTTAAATATGGGTAACATAATACAAGAGTAAGTTCTCACTCTGATATTACCACAGAATATATGAAATAATAATAATAATAATTTCATATATCTGTGGATATATGCATAAACTTTGACTTTTGTTTATCTGAACGTGATAATATTGAAACTGATTACATAGGTATCTGATATCGTTGATTTAGATGACAAATAATTATTAAATAAGATGAAATTTTGTATAATATCCATTATCCGCTAAAAATTGTAACTGTTATATATTATTATATTTTATAAATCAATATAATTACCCAAGTGTTTTAGCTTATATTAAGGAAAAAGAAAATGTTTAAAAATTTTGGAAGAAACAATATATTGTGTTTATGTAGACGTTATTATGTCAGGTAATAATTTTTCTTTAAATATATAAACATATTATGTACATACAACTATATGGCACAACACTACTAATTCTGTTGTTGTTTACCTCATTATTTGTGAACTCGAATTTATCGACACAGTAATTTTAGTCTCTGAATTAAATATTTAAGTTTTAATGGAAAATATGTTTCTTATTGATATTGTGGATGTTTTTGTCATCATTAGATTAATAGAAGTGGGTCAGTTAAATGTACCAAAGCCTATTGAAAAATATGAAACTGGTCAGTTGTTTTTTCACCGGATATTTGGATATAGAGGAGTGATATTGTTTCCATGGTTAGCCAGAGTATACGACCGTGATGTTGTCATCAAAGCAGAAAAGTAGTACTTTGTACTTATTATAATATATTACCACTAAGCTATTGAAATATTACATGTTAAATGCTAAAATAAACTAACTTATTTTTTTTTTTTTTTTTTTTAGCGCAACAGGAAAAGATATTAAAGGAAAGACACATACGTATTATCAAACTTTGATAGATGAAAGAGATTGCCCATTTATTGTAATTTAATTTTAAATACTTATCCAAATTTGCATTAATGGCTTAATATTTTGAAAATATTTTTTAGAGAGCACAAACAGAAGCTGTAACTTTTCTCGGAAATCAGGATACCAGTCGTAGCTTGTATGCAATACCTGGTCTAGATTATGTAGCTCAGGAAGATATACTTCCATACACAGCAACTGAAAAACAACCATTACAACATGAGCTTTTTGATAAATTTCTCATGTATTATCCTAATAAAGGTAAATGATTAATATATTATTATTATTATGAATTATAATTATACTATTTATATTATTATGGGTAAATGTATTTCTTGAATTTAAATTATTGTTTGTACTGGACACTAGTAGAGTTCACTTGATTATTTTAAAATACATTTTAGATTTATTTCATTTCTTTACATAATATTCACTAATCACTATACAATTTTGTTTCAATGTAGAACCACCATTTGGAGCACAAGAAACTCTTCGGTCGTGGCAAAAAAAAAATCATCCTTGGCTGGAGTTGTCGGATGTTCATAAAGAAACTACGGAAAATGTTAGAATCACAGTAATACCATTCTACATGGGCTATAGAGAATCTCAAACCAATTCTGTGTACTGGGTGAGTAATATCTAAAAGATTTTAATCATATGTGATATTTAGTTATAACCAGTTGATTAATTTATGTTAAGTGGAGATATTGTATACGATTAGAAAATTTGGGTGAACAAAGCGTTCAGCTAAGAGAAAGACATTGGAGAATATTTAGTTTATCTGGAACATTAGAGACTGTACGAGGAAGAGGTGTTGTGGGCCAAGAACCTCTACTCTCAAAAAAATCACCAGCATTTCAATATAGCAGTCATGTCAGCTTACAAGCTCCTAGTGGTCACATGTGGTTAGTTGTTATTTTTACGCTTAATGATATTATAATTTTATATCAATATACTTTTTAGATAAATTACATTAAAACAACATAGGTATATCTTTTTTTAAGATTTTTACTGGTTATTATATCACAATATTTGTTTAAGTTAAAAACTATTTATATTCCTAATACTTAATAATTCAATTTTAAATAA